TTTAATAATTTTTGATGCAAAATATCCCTCAAATAGGGAAATTACCCCCAATCTGGCATCACTGAGATGAAATAGTATCTTCGGCCAGCCTATTCTGATGGTCATCACATCGCATGAAAAATGTCAAAAACGTCATTTCCGTGTCCTCCCACATATGCCATGGCGTATGAGTTATCTATCAACACCAATATTTAGACCGGTTGAAAGCGAGATTTCAAGTCACTGTAATATTTTCTACTTATTAATTTATTTTTACGATTCCAAGGAAAACAAAGCATCGCTAACTAAAATATTTAATTCTATGAAGAGTAAAATTGTATTTAATAATAATCATAATAATAGATTGGCGCTTACACATAAGTCAGTGTTTGGCCGAGCTTCTCCTCTGATTTGTTCGCGTGCGCCTTGATGTTGTCACACAAAAGGGAGGGACCTACTGCTTTTCTACAATTAGTGGACGATAATTTAAACCGATTTTGACGTTCTTTCACATGTATGATCTTCTGGTTAAAACCAGAATATGCTCTGAATTTCATTAAAATCGGATAACATTAACTATTTCCGCCCACAAGAGGTATTGGGCGCGTAGAATTTTACCATTTTCCACACTTCTTCATTCCTAAGTGCCGATTAGCGCATATAAGAAATTTCAACAAATTTGTAGTACGGTTAATACTTTTGGCCGCAGTTTATACGGGGACGTCCCACTGTGTGGCGTCGTTTGTGGTGGAAAATGTCAAATCGTCTATCAGCTCTGCCGGTAAAGCTCTCTACGATCATTTGACAAATCTCGGTGCGATTTAAAGTCACAACCACGCAGTTTTCACCACCTACACCTATGTGCGAAATAATAGCAGTGCGACATTTTGACTACTGTTGACTTTTCTTCTTTCCATTGATTAATGTTCATTAATTTTATATAAAAGTCTAGCTTATTATTTAACAACCGCCATATACAGTGCTGGACAAAAGTAATGGCACAGAGAACTTTTCGCAATGTATGGAAAATTTTTTCTTATAATTTATTTTCGCTAATTTTTATAAAAATATAGTTCTCAAAACTCAGGAAAATTTAAAAAATTTGCGTACTAAATTCCAACTTTATAATCAGATTTTTTAGAAGAATTCTAAGTATGCAGTCGATTTTAGTATAACAAAGTGCAAGTTAGAAATAGATTTTTGGCAAATTTTTTCATAGTGTTGCTTGCATACAAAGTACTTATGTTCGACAAATAGAATTGGCAATTTAAATTATTACAATAAAAATTATAAAAAAGTTGTTAAGTTACTTAATTACATCCATCGTTTTACCAAAATTGTAAGTAGGAAATAAGTACTTATATGTATACATATATTGCATTATTAAACCCTAACTAACTTTACATCTGCAAGAATCTTGCGCACAAGTGAGCTTAGGTATGAAAAAAACAACAACAACATGGAATGTGGTTTGCATTATTAGAATCATATTCCCAACATTTGCGAATGAATGAATGAAAAATCATGAACACTCCAAGGCGATTAAGCGCATCAATCTCTTCGCGCAAAGCTGCTTTACTAAAAGCAAGTAATTACAGATCAATTAAAATTCCAATCCGAAGTAAATGTATGCAATAGCTAAAATATTATATAAAACTAACTTGTCTATTGTACTTTTAATATTGAATGCCAAAACATGTATAAGCAACGTTCAACGTTCATCAGAAGCATCAACCAACCATTGCCAAGTAACACTCCGTCAACTCTTCTACACTTTATGTATTTAGATATGTACATAGGTGTGTGTTTAACCGAAGGTGGACGTGTGCGTCCAGTAAACATCTTTGCGCATAATAAATTAGACTAGCCAACTGTGAAGCGCTCGCTTGTAAAGTACATATGTATGTATATGAAGTCTCTGAGACGGCCAGCGGCAAACTTAGAAAATGTTGATTTCGTGCTTGAGGATCACACTTAAATGGCAAATATTAACAGGTATTAGCGAGACCGCCGACGCCAAAGCCGACGCATCTCAGCTAAACAGCAAAAGCAACAACAACACAAGTCAATTCATGCAGAAGTGTATAAAGTGGGCAATTTCAGCCGATCAACGTTCGTAATTCACACCACCACCAACAATCAGGGGGAATATTTTTTTCTAATTTTTCATATAAACGCCGCGTGTATTGCAGCAGTGGTGGCAAGCAACAGTAGCAGCAACACATCATTGCAAAATGTTGCAGTTGTTTTGCTGTTTTTTTTTTCATTTTGCAATTCACACACAGCTATTTGTAATACAACCAGATGTACACGATGATTACACGCCGGTATGCGTGGCCAGTGTGGTCGGTGGTGGTACACACAGAAATGTCGCAATGCCACACATAAAGCATGCAATTGCAACAACAACAACAACTGCAGAAGCTACTGCAACGGCAGCACCAGCTCCGGCGCGCAGAGGAACAGCGCAGGCGCAGGCGCAGTTACAGTAGCCAAGCCATGCAAGCAATACAACACCCGTACAGCCGTCAGTTTAGTTGGCTCGTCTAGTTGAATGGGGTAATTTTGCGAGCGCTTTTCGACTTATC